TTTTTTTTTTTTTTTTGGTAAGAAATTTTAATTTTTTTGCACAGGTAACGTTTAAACCTCAAAATAAATGAACATAGTAAAAGTGTGACTCGCAGAAAGAGTCATTCATCGCTTCATGAAACTGCGTCTAAGGTGAAAGTAGAAGAAATGTCACTTATGGGAGTTGCTTTCTTTAGTAATCTGATGTGTTGTTTGAGTCGAATCTCTCACATTATTGAAGATCAGACTGTGCTCCAGTTCCACTCAAGCCATGTGTTTTCTTGTGGTAGTAGCTATTTTTTACTCTGATTTGGTGCTGTATATTAATTAGCTCTCGCATAATCAAGAGCAGAAGTGTGTGAACCAGCTCCAAAAGTCCCCCGACCATCAATAAAGCGTGGGAGTGTCTCTTTATTCTCTACATCTATGTGATTGTCAGGGCGTGAGGGATCTGCTGAAGGCTGTGATGGACAAGATTCAGACCGTCCCGAACTTCATGAGCTCGGCTGTGGTTCAGCAGCTGCTCGCAGCACGAGAAGTATGTTCGAGTCCTCAGACAGATGACGGTGCTTCTGGTGTTTCCCGAGTGTGATTAACTTTGCTGTGTGAAGGTGGTGGAGTACATACTGGACCGCAACGCTTGTCTGCTGCCGGCGTACTTCGCTGTGACTGAGATCAGGAAGCTGTATCCGGAGGGCATGCTCTCACACTGGGTAACTCACTCCTACAGACGCCTGACGAAGGCTGATTGTTGTAATGCAGGTGATGATTTGTTATCAGTGAGTCTTCACGAAATGAAACCAAAGTGTGTGCTGCTTTTCAGTTGTTGGGCAGCCTGATATCTGACTTCGTTGATAGTTTCAGACCGACCGCCCGCATTAACTCCATCTGCGGTAAGACGCATCCACACATCCTCGTCTCACACTGCGGTGGAATAATTATCCCATGAGCCCCTGCGGCAGTGTGTCACATGTTTGAATATGTTTCAGGGCGCTGCAATCTTCTGCCAGTGGTTAATAATTCTGGGGCCATTTGTAACTCGTGGAAACTGGACCCGACCACTCTGCGCTTCCCGCTGAGGGGAATGCTGCCCTATGATAAGGTACCGCTCTCGACCTCACAGAATTACTAATGAATCTCACATAAGAACGTGTAAAGGTCATGTTTGCCCAAAATTTCAGACTCGTCTGACAATAAAGTGTTAAATCATATCATATCATAAACAACCTTTAAGAGTTGAGGGCTTTAGGATTTTGGAAAAACTGACATTGCAATATTTAGGTTTTCAAAATCTATATTGCAGTATTAAAAAATACAGAAACTGTATAAATAATTTTGAGCGTGAAGCATATTTTTTTAGAAAAATGTGGGTGTACTCATTACATGAACCAACCCAAACCACTTTCAGTAACCATGAAGTGAAAAAAAGTCTCTCTCCGCCCAAGTTTTCATCGGTCACATTCCCAGTGTTTTTGACCCATTTAAAAAGACTTAAATAATGATTTTTTTT